GTAAATGAGAGCTGCTGCTTTGTCAGACAAATTTATTTGAATTTGGAAGCCTTATCAACACAGACTGGCTTCATTCACTGCCGTATGCTTAAGTAACTAGCAGACACTACAGAAAATTGACGTCATTCAAAACTCCGCCTTCTGTTCTCTGATTGGCCCAGGTAAAATAAACTACAAGCAGACACTGCGCAGAACATCGATGTCATTCAAAACTCCGCCTTCTGTTCTCTGATTGGCCCAGGTAAAATAAACTACAAGCAGACACTGCTCAGAAAATTGACGTTCTGTTCTCTGACTGGGTCAGCTAAAAATCTGCCAGCGAAACCCTTGTCTATGGGAGACGTCCCAGACGGAGCAGAGAAGCGAAATTAGAATTGAGCGGAACTGTGGAGGAAGGCAAGGGCCAGGCTAGGGAGGTGTGAACACGTAATCGAACTCTCATGTGGACCAAAAAAGCGAACTCTGGTCCATCTGAAAATAGGTCTCGATTTGGTTGAAGTGAACTCTGGTGCGGTTCGAATGCATCTGTGAACGCCAAGTGGACCGGAGGCCACTCCAAAAGCAGGAAGCAGACTGTAACATGGGTCATTCTGAGTATTAATAATATATTAATAATAACTTTACTCATATCCTGTAAATACCTCGCTCGATGTCTGTATAAGGTGAACATCACTGCTGTGAAGTTGGATTCGCGCCTTCTCGGTGAACGTCGCCTCAAACGGAGCTGTCTTAGCCTCCTTGTGTGGAGAACATTCTCCATAGTTCCACCTCATGTTTCTCTCATGCTGAGCCCATTGTGGAAGACAGTTTGTTTGGCACATTTCCCCCCAAAAAATTAATCCTACAACCACTAAAATCTGATGTTACTCTGTTTGTTTAGATTTTGTGATGAACGAAGTTGTGCTCAGTGTCTTCTCAGGTTTTTGTGCCGATTCCTTCAGTGATTCTTGGTGCAGAGCCACTACAGGCGAAAGGGTGGAACAGGTTGTTCACTAGGTTTAGTTCGATTGACAAAGTGCAGTGTGAATGTGAACCGCACCAGCTGAAAATGTAAACAAATCTTGCACTTTTGGTCCCCAATAGCCTATATGCCATGGACATCCGGTCCAACACTTGACACCACTCCCAACACTTCCGGTTCATGGGGATAAATGTACATTTCCCTTTTGTAACCTCCGTCTTCTCATTTCTGATGCTGGCTTTTGAATATCCTCAGGTTAGAAATGCTTATTACAAATGCAAGCGTGAGCTTTTAAAGATAAGTTTTGCCTATAATGCTATGATCCACAGCTGTCATCTCCTCATCTAAAAGGAAAAAGGAGAAAAACTAACTACTCGATCGTACCTGCTGCTTAGTGGACACAACGGCACACAACAGAACTCACGTTTTATACCAGTAGATCACAGATGCTTTAACTTTTGTGACTTTTTCACGGACTAGTACTAGGTGCTAACGCTAAAAACATAGGCAGTCAGCAGTGAGTGGAAGGGAGGAGCGTGGCAAAAATTTTACCGGAAATACGTCATTAATGACCGTGGCATATAGGCAATCGAACCGAGTCTGCCGGACTATCAGGTGTGAATACGACCTAAGGAGAACAACATTGTTTTGTTTTGTTTTTCTTAAAGCGCTCAGTAGGAAGTAACTTTTCTGTTCTTCAGGTTTGAACAAGTCTGTAAGAGAAGCAATGGCTGCATTGTTTGTTCTGGTGCACTAGTTTTTTCCCCCATTTGTCTTTTTTTAAACAAGAAAAAAACTATTTTCAGCACAGGATACAGGATTTGCCTCAAAGCAGAAGTGGTTGATGGGAAACAGGAAATAGTCGTGTAATTACAGTGCCCCACAGAGACGGAGACAAGATGTCATTGAAACTGCCAAATAATAGAATCATATAGTTATCATTTCCTGTTGTAAAAAAAAACTAAAGCTTGGTAGTTTTTCAACCCTCGTCACCTCTCCAGCTCTAACTATAGAACATCACTTTGCATGATTTTTTCACGCCTTCAGAATTAAATGTTTACATTTGTTTATGAGTATGTGAGCTGACTTTTAATTTGCACTGATTTCATCAATCTCTCTTGACTTTTTTGATTGTGAAGAATAATTAGCTCTCCATGCATAAGTGCATTTATCTCATTTTCAAAGACTGTCTCAAAATCAGCAACAATTGAAGATATTTCTGTTTAGTACCAACAACATGGGTGAGCAGAAAAAGTCTTTTACATCATTAAAATTCTATGTCAAACTTTTTTTATGGGTATACAAGCTTTTTTAAGAACATTTGGTCTTCATACTACTAAAAATAAAAGTATTGCAAAAATCATCAACTTTGATGTTTGACATTTCTGAGCAGCCCTGTAGAAGTCCTTTAAGCAGACTGAGACTAGTTGACCCGGACATGTTGTGGTAGATG